ACTGAGTGCAGATGTCCACAAAAAGATGTGTATAGCTATGTGGATAGTGACTTTATTCATAATAGTTCTAAACTAGAAATAACCTAAATATTCATCAATAATAGAGCATAGACAAATAAATTATGATATATACACACAATAAAATACTACTCCAATGGAAAATAACAAACAATTGATGCATACACCAACATGAATAAGTATCAAAAACCATATTGAGTAGTAGAAGCCAGATGCATACATGATTCCATTTACATAATGTCCAAAAAAAAGGCAGAACTAATCTTTAGTAATAGAAGTTAGCCTGAGTGATGATTAATTACATGCATGTCTAAATATGTAAAAAAAGATCTAGATGTATACTTAAGATTTGCATATTTTACTGCATGCAAATTATATCAACATAGAACACTTTATTTATTTATTTATTTATTTATTTATTTATTTATTTATTGTTATTCGATTACAGTTGTCCCCACTTACCCCCCATTACACTCCTTTGCCCTACCCACCCCCTCCCACTTTTGATCCCCACCCTACCATTGTTCTTGTCCATGAGTCCTTCTTCATGCTGCTTGACTTGACCCTTCCCCTTCTTTCCCTGGTTATCCTTCTCCTCTCTTCCCCTCTGGTCACTGTCAATTTGTTCTTTATTTCCATCTCACTAATTCTATTTTGCTCAGTTGTTGTTTTGTTCATTAGGTTCCACTTATAGTTTTTTTAAAGTAAATGTACAGAAAACTATTTAGAAGAGAAATATAGAAAAATTTGGCATTCCAAATTACTTCATTGCCAAGTTCCTAACTTTTAAAGTTGTTGATAGATGTTTCTCTCACTTCAGTGAAACTCAACAAATGGCCATGAAACCTGACTGACCTTACTCTTTATGGAAAACTAACTGGTGCATGAATTGAAGGTTCTCAGCAACCCAGGTCTTACAATTCTGTTTTGTGATCATTTAAATTTTCTAAAGGTAGCTAAATGACAACACAGACAACCTAATGCCTTAGGTATATTTGAAGAAAACTGTTAAATGATTTACACTTAGACACACTTATATGGCCTGCTAAAAACCCAAAGTATAATTATGAAAGCAGCAATTTAAGAAAAGCCCTTTGGAATTTAGTCTCTTCACCCAAGCATTTCATAAGTAAGCTAATAGTTGCCTTTACAACACTCATTTTTGTAAGTCCAAGTTCCCTGCAGAAACTGATTACGATTGGGGCCACACCAAGACTTCCTAAAGGGATGGCACAAGACTCTAAACCACTGCAAGAGCAAGTACATGATGTACTGATGCACCAGAAAAACGAGCAAAGTTATGATGCTAATAAAGTCAGAAAAATAAATTCAAAGACCATGAGAACTTTGCTTTCCCATCAAAGATTTACAATTGCCAATGTCTCTGTGTAGGTTGACAATGGGACCTGGGGGCATACTAACCCTAAATAATGGGGATCCGGGCTATAGACAACCCTAGCTAAAACACTGAATTTTCCACTTGTTCTTTCTGATAGCTGTGAAGGAATCTGAGGTTCTTAGTTAACTGAAATGGCTACAGAGTATAACCTCTAATTTTACCTTTGATTTCTGTTTTAAAGCTTGGGCATTCCAGAAAAATATATTCCTAAATTTTATGTTTCTCAGATACTCAATTTACAAATCACTTTTGCTTCCTACGCGATAGCAATTCTTTTAATACCTTCTGAGTCTTTGTTTTTGTTGATTGGCCACTCTCATTTATGGTTTCTACTGGTTGCCTCCTAGTACAGAAAAGTCACTCTTGTTTCTTCTTCTAACACTCAAATTTTTTCCTCCAAAATATTGAATAAATTGGTAAATGGTAAATACAATTTTGCTTATGCTTGATTCTTTAATTCTCGATTAAGAAGGAAAGAAACTTTGAACAACAGAAGAAGTACTATCATACAGACAATTCTGAACCTCCAATTTTCTTGGCACATGGAGACTATTTATTTGTTTTTAGCAACATATTTAAATTTAATTAATTAAGTTAAGCCTTTACTTGAGATCTTTAATTACACACATTGCTGAACTACATATACATGTATTAAATATATTACATCATTTTCTTTTAAAGACATGTTATATAACAATAGTTTAGTATGAAAAATTATGTTTAGACACCTATGTTTTAACATGCCAAAGTTAATTGAATCTATTAAGCTCAAATTGGCTTATTATTTAAATTATAAGTTCTTACTCAATTTGTAGAAAGCAAGATAATGATCCTAAGATAAACCTGCTGAGAAGAAGAGTTAACATCATGCCTCAGGTTGTTAAATTTTTTAAAGTCTGTTTAAAAGGTTGACCCTTAGCTGGCATCTGGGAATTTGGATTTAGAGGATTCCCATCATTTTTTTTAGTTCTCTAAAATGCGAATGGCTCACTGTGCCTACACTGTGCAAGAAATGCTGTTGATCCTGAGCAACTGCTTACCTACTGGGAATCTGGAACTCATGCACATGCTGGGCAGAGGGTACCTAAGTGAGCAGCACCCCCAAAGCAACTCTGGGCACTGAATATATTTTTCTGTTTTGTATTTTTATTGTTTTTCATTTTGTTAAAACATTTAATATAAGGTCTATCCTCTTGAAAAATTCTTAAGTGAACAATATAGTATTATTAACTATAGGCAAAATTTTGTACAGCAGATCTGTAGGAATTATTCATTTTCCACAATTGCAACTATATACCCATTGAATATCAGTTTCCCATCTTCCCTACCTCTCTAGCCCCTGATGACCACCACTCTACTCTCTTTCTATGAGTCTGACTATTTTAAATAAGTCATGTAAGCAATTACTCTTGAATAGGCTTCCCTGGTATTTTCCTGGTAAACACAATTAACATGTGTTGTCACAATTGATTACTAGAGAAATCAAGTTCATCCTTTCTGACTCCCCTGGAAGAGGGAACTCTTGGAAATGGGTGTCTTGTTTTCTCCAGATTTTGCCCCATGTGCCTTTCCCGTTCCTTATTTTGCTTTGTATTCTTTTGCTGTATAAATCCCATCTCTAAATATGACTAGTTGCTGAATCCTAGGAACTCTACTAGCAAACTATGGAAACTCAAGGTGGTCTGGATGACTTCTGACACAGCTGGTATCTGTGAAGCCTGCCTTTTACACAGATGAACTGTAGTGGTATTGATCCCAAAGAGAGGGGGAATCAGCTTTGTAGACAATATTTTTCAAAGAATATTCAGGTCAAGCTACCATAGAAAATTCCCACCTGCTTTAATGTGTCTGATCAATAGGTACACATTCTTCCTTGTATACATGGTTCAAACGAAACAAAAACAAACCCAAACACACATTTCCTTCTTCCATTGCTTCTAAGTAGGAATTTGTTGTCTTATTCACCTAGTAGTAATTCCCTCATACCTTTGAACAACATAGGTTCTTTTAATTGGTCTGTAACAATTCAAACAGCTAAATTCAATATTTTTGAGAACAGTTACTAACCAAATTTCTCTTGATCACAACTTTTCCAACAACTTATAGGAAAATCCAAAAGGTACCCTCCCTAGGCATGCCTTGAACTTGGCAAACAATGAATTTACAACATAATAAATTATTTTGTTCATATATTTTAGCAAATGTTCAGAGTCTGGCCAAGTAAAGGTTATTGACTTCCTCCTTGCTCTTTTTAAACATGCAGCTGGCCAAAAGGACAAATAATGTACATGCCCCCTCTCCTCAGTTTCTTCACAATTGTTTACCCGATGACATTGGCAGTAATAAGTAAAAACTCTATTGGTAAACAGTTATTAAGAACTACACCTAAAACAAAAGCAAACTAAGAGGACAGCTAAATCAGGAGCAGAACTATAGAAATGAAGATCACATGGATGGTTAGCAACATGGGAGTGGGAGAAGGAGAAGGGGGGAGAAGGTACAGAAAATAAGTAGCATAGATGGTGGGTAGGAAATAGATAGGGGGAGGACAAGAATAGTAGGGGAAATATAGAATCTAAAGAACTTAAGACACGTGGTCATAAACTAAAGGGGGGAATTGTGGGGGAGGAGTGTGCAGGGTACAGGGGAATGAAGGGGGAAATAGAACAACTGTAATGGCATAATAAAATATATTTTATTCATGATCATCACTCTTTTCAACGCTCTGATATTTCACAATATATTTTACTTTAGGAAAAAATTATAAAATTGTTCAATGACACTGATGCCGTTAGCTCAAACAGTAACGGGGTGGAGAGAAAATTACCACATGTTACCGAGAATAATATGGGATTTTACTAACTGTTGCATAACAATGAAAGAATAATATGAACTAATATCTAAATAATTCTGATAAAAATAAACATGTAAAGATTAAAAATAAAAAAAACAGGAAAAACAAGAATAAAAACACAAATACTCTGCAAAGCAGGAAACACAATGGTTGCATTATGGAGACATAACTATGTGTGATTCTTCTATATGTACTAATCCTGAATAAAGCCACCTTATGCTGGGAGCTGAAACAGTATTGTGGTTAGCAATACCTCTAAGTGTCAAAGGCCAAATTACTAGGTTCATGAAGATAATTGCATATTGCCTTTGATTCTAATTACAGTACAATCTATTCCTGATTCCCAACTTGCTTTGCATCAATGAACATTGCTTACTATTACAGATATGTATGTGCACATGATAATTTGCTCATTAGTTCTCATTTGTTAAGAATTTTTTATTAAATTACATATGACTAATATTAATTTTGTAAACCTAAATCTCTTTTCCCAAATGTTTATTATCACTCACTAATACTTTTCAACTCATAAAACATTTTAACTAAAACATCTACTCCTGCAGAAATAGTGATGGTACCTGAGAAAAATCACCTTTTTTTCCTTTAGCTCTAGAAACTCCATTTTACTCCTACACAAGTCAAACGATGAGCCACAAAATCTCAAAGGACCATGAGAAGCAATCATCATCCAAAATATAAAATGGGCAAATATCACCCAAGGGCACTCACCCAGTGGAGTCTGCGGAAGTGATAGCAATCAGTGGCAGAATCTTCAGGGGGAGGCTGGTCGGTCTTTGAATGTTCTCTGATTCACTTTTCAAGTCAGCTTGTTCCAACTGTCTGAAGGCAAGAGGGGGCAGCTGAACGTTGCGGCAGGAAAGTCTCCGTACAAGATAGGGTTCCATGCCGCGGAAAGGGTCTTCCTCCTCCTTACTGGAATGCAGTGTTTCCTCAGAGGCCTGAGGCAAAAGTGCAAGAAAGCACATGTGATCAAAAAAGTCCTGTTATTTATCAGTACCAGATGTTTTTATACTTTTGGGGAAAGAAATTAAGGAAACTTATATGTGAGAAATGTTAACTATAAAGTGATGATATTAACAGATATTCTAATATTTGGTAAAAACATTAGAACTAATAACTGACTTCTACATTTATTTTAGAAATAGTAAAATTTGTTCACCAGTATATTTAGAGTGGCTCAGTTGTTACAATTAACTGACCTCTTAGAATTTATAAGCTTTGCGTATAAATTCTATAAAATCAAGAGTAAATAAAAATATTTATACCCTCTATGCAAAACATTCACTTTAATATATTTTTGACATATGACATATTCCCACATACATGCCCATGAAGAGAAAGAAAAAAATGGGTCCTATTTTTTTCTTCATATTTAGGACCATATTTGTAACACGTATTTTCATATGTCACGTTACTTGAATATCCTTTACAAAGATTTACAACAAGACATTGTGAGGGGAATTTTTTAAATGACAGGAAAAGGTTATCTGAGGACCCAGTTCTAGAATAATAGTTAAATCATAGTAAATTGTGTGCACTTGATTCATGTTATCCATATGCCAAGAAAAATCAAGTCTAGAATAAAATAGAAATTTTTATTCTAGTTAAAAATATATATACTGCTACATGAAGAATAATTATTTCTAAGTGATTAGAAAGCCACTCTAGCAATGTTTATTATATCCATATATTCAGAGTGATAGTCACCAAATGTTATCAGACAATATGCTGGGTTGTAGAATCCTTGCATTACCACTTTGCTAGTTGTATGCTTAGAGTGTTTCTTAATTTCCCTAACTTTTCTGTTTGGGGATAATGTTTACCCGCAAGAATGAAATGAGATCTTGCATGTAATGTGCATAGCTCATTACCTGCTTGCAGTGTGATGAACAATCATAAACGGCAATTTCCCTTTCTTTTGAGTTTTACAGGTGAAGAAAGTAGCTCAGGAAGGCAAAGATGTTTTTCCAAAGTGCAGACTTTGCAGAATCTAGATCTAGTTTAGAACCTTGTTGCACTCTTTTTTTATATATTCTATTTGGGCAAGTAACTTAGGCTCACAGAGGTTGGTTCTACATCTGAACACTAAGGATAACATTTACTTCTCAGGTTCATTGGCTGGAGCAGGAAAATGAAGTGTTTGAAATGCCAATATTTGGCAGAATTTTCACTCAGTGAAATACTAGGTATTATTATTGGAATCCAGGCTAATTCCCTTTACCTTTTTGTAGCACTGTGCTGTCTTTGATAGTTCATTTATCCACACTACTTTATAGTTAGAAAATTTGATGTTTTACTGATTTATATCTTTAAAAATGTGAGGGGACATGCAGTGGTAGACTCTAGTTAACCTCGGATTTAATTGTCTAATTGTATGGATAAATAGGATAAAGGAGGGCACCCAGATGGTAAAAAAAAAAAAAAAAGAGCTCGAAGCTAAAAGTTTATGTATTTATTTATTTATGTATTATAGAATCTAGATGCTGAGAAACTGTGTTTTGAGGAATATGCTGGCTTTGTAAAACATTAATAACAAAAATAATGGCTTAAGAGGAGAGAAAATCCTGCCGTTGTGACACTAGAGATGGGCATTAGGGCATTATGCTGAGTGAAATAAGTCAGACAGAGAAAGACAAGTTACTGCATGATCTCACTTATATATTAAATCTAAAAAATAAAAAACAAGAAAGAGATCAGATTTGTGGTTATCAGAAATGGGAATACAGAAGGGGAAATCAGATGAAGGTGGTCAAACTTCCAATTATAGGATAAACAGTATTAGGGATATAACAGACAACATGATGACTATAATTAATATTGCTGTATGGTATATATAAACGTTGTTAAGATAGTGAATCTTAAAGAGTTCTCATCGTAAGGTAAACATATTTTTTCTTTTTTTTAAATTTGGTATCTATATGAGATGATAAATGTTAACTAAGCTTATGGTGGTAATCATTTCATGACATTTATAAGTCAAATCATTATGCTGATACACCTTATATTATGCAGTTATATGTCAATTATATCTCAATAAAACTGAAAAAGTTAAGTAATAATAATGGATAAATTTATTAAATCCTTATGAAATGGTGCTATGTTTTACATATGCCATCTCACTTAAATTTTACTGAAATCCTGAGTTAGGTCCTACTACTTTTCCCATTTTACACATAAAGAAACAGACCTATAAAATGGCATGCCTTGGCCACACAGCCACATGGTCAGTAAGGTGACTGACCACTCCAGCTTCCCTGGGACTTTCTGATGCTAGTGCAGCAAGTCCCGTGTCTGAGAAAACACTGAGTGTTTTCGACCAAGCGAACGAGGATGGTCGATGTCCAATAAATTGAGATACAAACTAAAATCTCTTTTAGTTAAAGCTGGAGCTAGTAAGCACTACCTTATACCACCTCTAATAAGCATGGTCCCTGGAAGGGTACGAATTACTGAAAAAGAATAGAACACACACTAATTGATCATGACTTAATAAACCTCAGATTTTTATTTTCAAATATAGCAGAACTGAGATCACGACAGCCATACATAAACATTGAAAATTAATTAAGTGAATTATAATCCTTGTCAATTGAATCAGGAGTTAGAGACTTGAAGCCCGACTCTGCCACTAATTACTCATGTGCTGTTAAGTCACTTAATTTTTCTGGGCTTTAATTTTTTTAGATATAAAACCAAGAGATTTTACAAAGTGAAGATTAAGACTGGTTGCAGTTCTGAAATACTCTGATTTTTACCATAGCCAGTGACAAAGTTAATGTTTAGTGACCTGGCAAACAGAGAAAACAACACATGTAACATTCTTAGCTTAGCTTTTAGATTGAGAAAATGAACATCTGTGTGTGAACTTCTAGGCATTCATTTAAGGACAAAATGACAAACTGAACCCACACTCTTGGATGCTATCAGATCACAGTTTACTTCAGATATTTCTCCAGAGAAGTTAATGACTGAAGGGTGTAGATACCTTCTTAAGGACGAAAATGAAAAGGAGCAGAGGATGAGTCTAGCAGAGATTAAGACTGAATGTAAGTGAGCAAAGTCAACATTTTTCTATAAGTACTTAGCTACTCACTCAAGTGATAGCACTGCAACTGGAAAAATGTTTTATGGAACCCAGGTTATCTAATAAAAGACTTAATGTTTGTGACTTTCTCTTTTAGATAAAACCACCTCGAGAAGTAACCTTTCCTGAAAGAACAACCTCTATTAAAAGTAAAGTGTAGTATTTTTTATCTTGATTATAAAAATGATGAAGAATTAGATGCCTGTATCCTAACATTTCTTTTCAAAAACAGTATAACAAGTAGCTTTTTAAAAAATCCAGATCAATATGTATCAAATATATTTCAAAAATAGAATAACTCTATCAGGTATAAGGCAGGATGTTAAATGGCCTTATTATGGAAAGAAATGTAAAACTGACTACTAAGGTAATATGTATCTCATGTTATTGCTGGAAATGGCATTTTTGCAAGGAGTTGAGGAAAAAGATAACATTTCTAATATCTCTAAGCCATTATTTCTCAAAACATGATGCTCAAACCCCCTGCATGAGAATCACAGAGAGGGTGCTTGCTAGAATTCCCATTCCTAGGCCCTCTTCCAGATCTGCTAAATCAGAATATCTATTATTAGGGCTTGGGAGTCTATGTCCCCAGGATGATCCTTATGCATACTAAAATTTGAGAACTAATGGTTTTGACATTTTAGGCATAGTCCAATAAGATTGTCTGGCAAAGATCCAACCACAAAGATGTTCACTGCAGCTTATTTGAAATAATGAATAACTGGATGTAATACAATTGTTGCACTGAGCGATTGGCTTAATGAATTTTAATGCATCATATTATGAAATACTATAATGTTGTTAAAATAATGTAAAAGAATATGTGATTATGTTCATGATATAATGCTGAATGGGAAACACAAGGTGCAAATAATATCATTTTTCTACACTGGAACAAAACACTAACATTATATTCATAGACAAGTTCTGGAAAGATATTTTTCAATTCCCTAACATGACTTTCTCTAGGTGACAGTAAAAATTTGGGGAGTAAGCAAGGGAGAGTAATAGGGGGAAATGGGGACAACTATAATTGAACAAAAAGAAAAAAGAAAAAAATGATGGTAATTTTCATATTTTTGTTAATTAACATTTTCTATATTCTCTGTTAAAGTATATTTTTAGATCAAAAGGTAAAATAAAAACAATATTAATAAAATGAAACAACATTCAACTCGCTTGATGGGACTCAGAAATACCTCTAATTCAGTTTCAAGATACGCAATATCAAAAAACAAAAAAATTTGAATGAGGTTAACGCAAACCTGTTAAATTGTAATAGAATAAAATTCTTTTTGATAGTTAACCAACTTAATAAAACGTTGAGGGAAAAATAATTTTCATGTAATTATCCATCAATAGGTATGTGGATAAAACAACTATGGTACATTTACACAATGGGATACTACTTTGGCATCAAAAGGAAGAAAATCTTACCCTTTGTGACAGCATGGATGGACCTGGAGAACATTGTGCTAAGTGAAATAAGCCAGCCAGAGGAAGACAAACACCATATGATTTCACTCACATGTGGGATCTAGTGAACAAACTGAACTAACAAGGAAAACAGAGACAAACTCGCAGAGAGGAGGCTAACAGCTCTCGACTGGGGAGTTAAGGTGTGGAGGGGTAGAGCGAAAGAAAAAGGACTCATGGACACGGACAGCAGTGTAGTGACTACAGGGTGAGGGTGGAGGTGGGAGAGGGTATAAGGGGATGAATGGTAATAAAAAATATTATAAAATAAATAAGTAAATAATTAAAACTAAAAGATATGCCTAAAGAAATAAATTTCACAATAATTGACAGTTACAATAAATGAGCATTAAATATGTTATTATTATCATTATT